AGACACGAGTCACATTTGAGTCCTAAAACACGAGTCAGCATTATGAGTCCTGAAACATGAGTCAGCATTATGAGTCCTGAAACATGAGTCAGCATTATGAGTCCTGAAACATGAGTCAGCATTATGAGTCCTGAAGACATGAGTCAGCATTATGAGTCCTGAAGACATGAGTCAGCATTTTGAGTCCTGAAGACATGAGTCAGCATTATGAGTCCTAAAGACATGAGTCCGCATTATGAGTCCTGAAGACACGAGTCAGCATTATGAGTCCTAAAGACACGAGTCAGCATGATGAGTCCTAAAGACCTGAGTCAGCATTATGAGTCCTAAAGACATGAGTCAGCATTATGAGTCCTAAAGACACGAGTCAGCATTATGAGTCCTGAAGACACGAGTCAGCATTATGAGTCCTAAAGACACGAGTCAGCATGATGAGTCCTGAAGACACGAGTCAGCATGATGAGTCCTAAAGACACGAGTCAGCATGATGAGTCCTGAAGACACGAGTCAGCATTTTGAGTCCTGAAGACATGAGTCAGCATTTTGAGTCCTGAAGACATGAGTCAGCATTTTGAGTCCTGAAGACATGAGTCAGCATTTTGAGTCCTGAAGACCTGAGTCAGCATTTTGAGTCCTGAAGACATGAGTCAGCATTTTGAGTCCTGAAGACCTGAGTCAGCATTTTGAGTCCTGAAGACATGAGTCAGCATGATGAGTCCTGAAGACATGAGTCAGCATTTTGAGTCCTGAAGACACGAGTCAGCATTATGAGTCCTAAAGACACGAGTCAGCATTATGAGTCCTGAAGACACGAGTCAGCATTTTGAGTCCTGAAGACATGAGTCAGCATTATGAGTCCTGAAGACATGAGTCAGCATTATGAGTCCTGAAGACATGAGTCAGCATTATGAGTCCTAAAGACATGAGTCAGCATGATGAGTCCTGAAGACATGAGTCAGCATGATGAGTCCTAAAGACCTGAGTCAGCATTATGAGTCCTGAAGACATGAGTCAGCATTATGAGTCCTAAAGACATGAGTCAGCATTATGAGTCCTGAAGACATGAGTCAGCATCATGAGTCCTGAAGACATGAGTCAGCATTATGAGTCCTGAAGACACGAGTCAGCATTATGAGTCCTGAAGACATGAGTCAGCATTATGAGTCCTGAAGACATGAGTCAGCATTATGAGTCCTGAAGTCATGTGACCCTGCTGTAGTTCCGGTCTGAAGTCATGTGACCCTGCTCTAGTTCCGGTCTGCAGTCATGTGACCCTGCTGTAGTTCCGGTCTGCAGTCATGTGACCCTGCTCTAGTTCCGGTCTGCAGTCATGTGACCCTGCTGTAGTTCCGGTCTGAAGTCATGTGACCCTGCTGTAGTTCCGGTCTGCAGTCATGTAACCCTGCTCTAGTTCCGGTCTGCAGTCATGTGACCCTGCTGTAGTTCCGGTCTGCAGTCATGTGACCCTGCTGTAGTTCCGGTCTGAAGTCATGTGACCCTGCTGTAGTTCCGGTCTGAAGTCATGTGACCCTGCTCTAGTTCCGGTCTGCAGTCATGTGACCCTGCTGTAGTTCCGGTCTGCAGTCATGTGACCCTGCTGTAGTTCCGGTCTGAAGTCATGTGACCCTGCTGTAGTTCCGGTCTGAAGTCATGTGACCCTGCTGTAGTTCTGGTCTGAAGTCATGTGACCCTGCTGTAGTTCCTGTAGCTCACGGTAGGTTCTGACCCGGCAGGTGATCGTGGGTCTGCTGAAGTTCTGGCCGAAGACCCACAGTCCGAAGGAGGTGATGTTCCTGAACGAGCTGGAGGAGATCCTGGACGTCATCGAGCCCTCGGAGTTCATGAAGGTCCAGGAGCCGCTGTTCAGACAGCTGGCCAAGTGTGTGTCCAGCCCGCACTTCCAGGTACCTAAGGCTTTCACCGATGCAGTCACAATAAACCCTCTCTGATCAAATTAAGTATACATTAAGTATACATTATTGGAAATTGTGTGTGTGTGTGTGTGTGTGTGTGTGTGTGTGTGTGTGTGTGTGTGTGTGTGTGTGTGTGTGTGTGTGTGTGTGTGTGTGTGTGTGTGTGTGTGTGTGTGTGTGTGGTGTGTGTGTGTGTGTGTGTGTGTGTGTGTGTGTGTGTGTGTGTGTGTGTGTGTGTGTGTGTGTGTGTGTGTGTGTGTGTGTGTGTGTGTGTGTGTGTGTGTGTGTGTGTGTGTGTGTGTGTGTGTGTGTGTGTGTGTGTGTGTGTGTGTGTAGGTGGCCGAGAGGGCTCTGTATTACTGGAACAACGAGTACATCATGAGTCTGATCAGCGACAACGTAGCCAAGATCCTCCCCATCATGTTCCCCGCGCTCTACAAGAACTCCAAGAGCCACTGGAACAAGTAAGACACACACACACACACGCTCACACACACACACACACACACACACACACACACACATAAATAATATAGATATGAATGACAGGTGTTTCTCCTCAGGACGATCCACGGGCTGATCTACAACGCTCTGAAGCTCTTCATGGAGATGAACCAGAAACTGTTTGACGACTGCACCCAGCAGTACAAGGCCGAGAAACAGAGGTACACACACACACACACACACACACACACACACACACACACACACACATGCACACGCACGCACACTCAGTGTAACATGTTTCCTGTGTGCAGAGAGAAGTTTAAGCTGAAGGAGAGAGAGGAAATCTGGCTGAAGATCGAGGAGCTCGCCCAGAAGAACCCTCAGGTACACACAAACACACACACACACACTGAGAACTAGGGCTGTATCCGAATATTCGGTCGTTGGCCTACTATTCGGTTTTCAATTTCGTTATTCGGATATTAGTTTTTTTGGCCGCACTGCGGCTGCCAAACTGAATGAATTGAAATCTCCAGTATCAACGTAAGAGCTTGTGCCTCTTCGGGGGTGCTAACACTTAACCATAAACGTTATCCTTTACCTTCTCCCTCTTTATATGTAGATATTACTTTATCTCCGTTAATCTCCGTCACGTTGTTTCCATAGTAACAACAACTTCCTGTCAACAGCGCTAACTCTTAGGGCAAAATAAAAGCATGTCCATAAATAGGAAGCCAAGCCAAATTACACTTAAGACATTTACAACTGCAACGAAAGTAACAAACACAATGCGATATCCTTTTCAATTTCAAAGAACACAAATTGGGTTACATTAACAAATAACTATAAAACAACAATACTGTAGAATAACAAAATTAATGCGCCGAATATCTGGAGATACACACACTGAACACACGCACACACACACACACTGAACACACACACACGCTGAGAACGATAGTTACGTATCTAACTACGGTTCTATGAATCCTGGATGACCGCCAGAGGCGGTGCTTAGCACTGGATGACCTATACCAACAGAGTCACGAGGAAGTCTGAATACTTACCCCTTAGAGGCAATGGACGTCCATTCTCGGGAGACGTCCGACAGTGGTGCGGTTATCCAAAGTGACAGACCTAATTTTACCTCTATTTAGAGGCAATGGACGTCCACTCTCGGGAGAGAGACCTCCAGCATGTGTCCCTGAAATGGGGACTCAGGTTATTTCACACATCCAGGACAGAGACCGGGGAAATCACCTCTCTGTGGCCCCTCCAAGACCCCCAAAGGACGGACTAATGACCTCCAGCATGTGTCCCTGACATGGACACCTCTGTAACCTTGCACACCGTTAGTCCCCGGGCCCCCGGACTTAAGCACTCCCCCAAACAAATCTGCATTATTGCCCGAGCTCTGCTGTCTGCCCGTTTGTTTAACCGCAAGCCGTTATCGTCACGGGAGAAGGACACACACAGCCTGCCCAGGTGGACGCGCGCGAACGCGACAACGAACGTAGCGTGGCATTCTAAAAGTAGCTCTCAGATGGTGAGCAGGCACCGCGGTTTTGAACTACAGTATTGAATTTGACAGAAAACAACAATGAAACGCCAGCAGAAGAATAGTGTAATGAGTTGGGTGAAAAAAGAGACAGGAGATGTGAGTTGGTTCATTCAGTAAATCAGCTCAGGATAATTGGATGTTCTGTCTGTTGATGTGAGGCTAATGCAGGATTTGCTAGCTTGATGCTACCGGCATTTAGCGGCAGTGACTCAACAAATTGCCTCTTAAAATGTATCGTCAGCAATGTATGACAAGCAGACGGCTTGTTTAATGTTAGACTCACACCAATAGCTCCATATGATCAGAACACACGTTGCTTTCATATCAGAGAGCAGCAGGTGTGTTATATGCTGCAGGTGATTTAAAGTATCAATGAAAGGAAGAAGTGTGGCTACACGATAAGAAGGGAATACAGTTTGAATACAAGTAATACAGTACTTTTTAATGTACAAATACTTTGTTACTGTACGATATCAATAACAACAATCCACAGCTGCCCTCTCTGCTCCGGAGGATAACACCCCGTGTCGGGTGCCGAGCAGCACCCTGCCAAGGCGGCACCCCGAGGGGGAGGCGGCACCCCGAGGGGGAACACTGCAGTTATCTATTAGCTTGAGAATAAATGGCACAATCAGCAACAAATGGCAGCGATCTCACCGGCTGACGTGCAGGAGCGTCCGCTCTTTACCGGTCCGGAGCTCCTGGGGTCCGAGCGGTCCCTCCCTTGGGAGGCGGCAGCTCGTCGCACACACACTGAGAACACACACACACACACACACACACACTGAGAACATACACACACACACACACACACTGAGAACACACACACACATACTGAGAACATACACACACACACTGAGAACACACACACACACACACACACACACACACACACACACACTGAGAACACACACACACACACATACTGAGAACATACACACACACACTGAGAACACACACACACACACACACACAAACACACACTGAGAACACACACACACACACAGATGTTATATATCTCACTCTCTAATCAGCTGATCTGTTTCCTGTAGATCAATAAGCTCCGCCCCGGGCTCCGCCCACAGGAAGAGGTCAGTGTCTGTTTATTATTGTGTTTAATGTCAAGTTATGATTTGTGTTGCTGGATTGACTCAAACTGATATGCCTACTCGAGTATGGCCTGGTTCAAGGTTCTATGTTCAAGGTTCTAGGTGCTAGCTTCTATGTGCTAGGTTCTAGGTGCTAGGTTCTATGTGCTAGGTGCTAGGGTCTAGGTTCTAGGTTCTAGGTGCTAGGTTCTATGTGCTAGGTTCTAGGTTCTAGGTGCTAGGTTCTATGTGCTAGGGTCTAGGTGCTAGGTTCTATGTGCTAGGTTCTATGTTCTAGGTTCTAGGTGCTAGGGTCTAGGTGCTAGGTTCTAGGTGCTAGGTTCTAGGTGCTAGGTTCTATGTTCTAGGTGCTAGGTTCTAGGTGCTAGGTTCTATGTGCTAGGTTCTAGGTGCTAGGTTCTAGGTGCTAGGGTCTAGGTGCTAGGTTCTAGGTGCTAGGTTCTAGGTTCTAGGTTCTATGCTTTTATTTAGTCATACGAACATATCTTAGTTTGAAAAAGTGAAATAAGAGTCAGTTATTGGAATATATTAGATAATAGATAAATAATGACTAAGTAGCAGATTAATGTTGTTTCAACAGTCTGATGGCCTGAAGTGTCTCTGTGTCTCCTCCTGTCCCTCACAGTGAAGTGTCTCTGTGTCTCCTCCTGTCCCTCACAGTGAAGTGTCTCTGTGTCTCCTCCTGTCCCTCACAGTGAAGTGTCTCTGTGTCTCCTCCTGTCCCTCACAGTGAAGTGTCTCCTGTCCCTCACAGTGAAGTGTCTCTGTGTCTCCTCCTGTCTCTCAGAGTGAAGTGTCTCCTCCTGTCCCTCACAGTGAAGTGTCTCTGTGTCTCCTCCTGTCTCTCACAGTGAAGTGTCTCCTGTCTCTCACAGTGAAGTGTCTCCTGTCCCTCACAGTGAAGTGTCTCCTGTCCCTCACAGTGAAGTGTCTCCTGTCCCTCACAGTGAAGTGTCTCCTGTCCCTCACAGTAAAGTGTCTCCTCCTGTCTCTCACAGTGAAGTGTCTCTGAGTGTCTCCTTCTGTCCCTCACAGTGAAGTGTCTCTGAGTGTCTCCTTCTGTCCCTCACAGTGAAGTGTCTCCTTCTGTCCCTCACAGTGAAGTGTCTCCTCCTGTCCCTCACAGTGAAGTGTCTCCTCCTGTCCCTCACAGTGAAGTGTCTCCTCCTGTCCCTCACAGTGAAGTGTCTCCTCCTGTCTCTCACAGTGAAGTGTCTCCTTCTGTCCCTCACAGTGAAGTGTCTCCTGTCCCTCACAGTGAAGTGTCTCCTCCTGTCCCTCACAGTGAAGTGTCTCCTCCTGTCCCTCACAGTGAAGTGTCCTCCTGTCCCTCACAGTGAAGTGTCTCCTCCTGTCCCTCACAGTGAAGTGTCTCCTTCTGTCCCTCACAGTGAAGTGTCTCCTCCTGTCCCTCACAGTGAAGTGTCTCCTGTCCCTCACAGTGAAGTGTCTCCTCCTGTCCCTCACAGTGAAGTGTCTCCTCCTGTCCCTCACAGTGAAGTGTCTCCTCCTGTCCCTCACAGTGAAGTGTCTCCTCCTGTCCCTCACAGTGAAGTGTCTCCTCCTGTCCCTCACAGTGAAGTGTCTCCTGTCCCTCACAGTGAAGTGTCTCCTCCTGTCCCTCACAGTGAAGTGTCTCCTCCTGTCCCTCACAGTGAAGTGTCTCCTCCTGTCCCTCACAGTGAAGTGTCTCCTCCTGTCCCTCACAGTGAAGTGTCTCCTCCTGTCCCTCACAGTGAAGTGTCTCCTTCTGTCTCTCACAGTGAAGTGTCTCCTCCTGTCCCTCACAGTGAAGTGTCTCCTCCTGTCCCTCACAGTGAAGTGTCTCCTTCTGTCTCTCACAGTGAAGTGTCTCCTCCTGTCCCTCACAGTGAAGTGTCTCCTCCTGTCCCTCACAGTGAAGTGTCTCCTTCTGTCCTTCACAGTAAAGTGTCTCCTCCTGTCCCTCACAGTGAAGTGTCTCCTCCTGTCCCTCACAGTGAAGTGTCTCCTCCTGTCCCTCACAGTGAAGTGTCTCCTCCTGTCCCTCACAGTGAAGTGTCTCCTCCTGTCCCTCACAGTGAAGTGTCTCCTTCTGTCTCTCACAGTGAAGTGTCTCCTTCTGTCTCTCACAGTGAAGTGTCTCCTTCTGTCCCTCACAGTGAAGTGTCTCCTTCTGTCTCTCACAGTGAAGTGTCTCCTCCTGTCCCTCACAGTGAAGTGTCTCTGAGTGTCTCCTTCTGTCCCTCACAGTGAAGTGTCTCCTGTCCCTCACAGTGAAGTGTCTCCTGTCCCTCACAGTGAAGTGTCTCCTTCTGTCCCTCACAGTGAAGTGTCTCCTTCTGTCCCTCACAGTGAAGTGTCTCCTTCTGTCCCTCACAGTGAAGTGTCTCCTCCTGTCCCTCACAGTGAAGTGTCTCTGTGTCTCCTCCTGTCTCTCACAGTGAAGTGTCTCCTGTCCCTCACAGTGAAGTGTCTCCTTCTGTCCCTCACAGTGAAGTGTCTCCTCCTGTCTCTCACAGTGAAGTGTCTCCTGTCCCTCACAGTGAAGTGTCTCCTGTCCCTCACAGTGAAGTGTCTCCTCCTGTCTCTCACAGTGAAGTGTCTCCTTCTGTCCCTCACAGTGAAGTGTCTCCTGTCCCTCACAGTGAAGTGTCTCCTCCTGTCCCTCACAGTGAAGTGTCTCCTTCTGTCCCTCACAGTGAAGTGTCTCCTCCTGTCCCTCACAGTGAAGTGTCTCCTTCTGTCCCTCACAGTGAAGTGTCTCCTGTCCCTCACAGTGAAGTGTCTCCTTCTGTCCCTCACAGTGAAGTGTCTCCTTCTGTCTCTCACAGTGAAGTGTCTCCTCCTGTCCCTCACAGTGAAGTGTCTCCTGTCCCTCACAGTGAAGTGTCTCCTCCTGTCCCTCACAGTGAAGTGTCTCCTCCTGTCCCTCACAGTGAAGTGTCTCCTCCTGTCCCTCACAGTGAAGTGTCTCCTCCTGTCCCTCACAGTGAAGTGTCTCCTGTCCCTCACAGTGAAGTGTCTCCTGTCCCTCACAGTGAAGTGTCTCCTGTCCCTCACAGTGAAGTGTCTCCTGTCCCTCACAGTGAAGTGTCTCCTCCTGTCCCTCACAGTGAAGTGTCTCCTTCTGTCTCTCACAGTGAAGTGTCTCCTCCTGTCCCTCACAGTGAAGTGTCCTCCTGTCCCTCACAAGTGAAGTGTCTCCTTCTGTCCCTCACAGTGAAGTGTCTCCTGTCCCTCACAGTGAAGTGTCTCTCTGTCCCTCACAGTGAAGTGTCTCCTTCTGTCCCTCACAGTGGAAGTGTCTCCTGTCCCTCACAGTGAAGTGTCTCCTGTCTCTCACAGTGAAAGTGTCTCCTGTCCCTCACAGTGAAGTGTCTCCTCTGTCCCTCACAGTGAAGTGTCTCCTGTCCCTCACAGTGAAGTGTCTCCTGTCCCTCACAGTGAAGTGTCTCCTGTCCCTCACAGTGAAGTGTCTCCTGTCCCTCACAGTGAAGTGTCTCCTGTCCCTCACAGTGAAGTGTCTCCTGTCCCTCACAGTGAAGTGTCTCCTTCTGTCCCTCACAGTGAAGTGTCTCCTGTCCCTCACAGTGAAGTGTCTCCTGTCCCTCACAGTGAAGTGTCTCCTGTCCCTCACAGTGAAGTGTCTCCTGTCCCTCACAGTGAAGTGTCTCCTTCTGTCCCTCACAGTGAAGTGTCTCCTGTCCCTCACAGTGAAGTGTCTCCTGTCCCTCACAGTGAAGTGTCTCCTCCTGTCCCTCACAGTGAAGTGTCTCCTTCTGTCTCTCACAGTGAAGTGTCTCCTGTCCCTCCACAGTGAAGTGTCTCCTGTCCCTCACAGTGAAGTGTCTCCCTCCTGTCCCTCACAGTGAAGTGTCCTCCTGTCCCTCACAGTGAAGTGTCTCCTGTCCCTCACAGTGAAGTGTCTCCTCCTGTCCCTCACAGTGAAGTGTCTCCTCCTGTCCCTCACAGTGAAGTGTCTCCTTCTGTCCCTCACAGTGAAGTGTCTCCTGTCCCTCACAGTGAAGTGTCTCCTCCTGTCCCTCACAGTGAAGTGTCTCCTGTCCCTCACAGTGAAGTGTCTCCTCCTGTCCCTCACAGTGAAGTGTCTCCTGTCCCTCACAGTGAAGTGTCTCCTGTCCCTCACAGTGAAGTGTCTCCTCCTGTCCCTCACAGTGAAGTGTCTCCTCCTGTCCCTCACAGTGAAGTGTCTCCTCCTGTCCCTCACAGTGAAGTGTCTCCTCCTGTCCCTCACAGTGAAGTGTCTCCTCCTGTCCCTCACAGTGAAGTGTCTCCTCCTGTCTCTCACAGTGAAGTGTCTCCTCCTGTCCCTCACAGTGAAGTGTCTCCTGTCCCTCACAGTGAAGTGTCTCCTTCTGTCCCTCACAGTGAAGTGTCTCCTGTCCCTCACAGTGAAGTGTCTCCTGTCCCTCACAGTGAAGTGTCTCCTTCTGTCCCTCACAGTGAAGTGTCTCCTGTCCCTCACAGTGAAGTGTCTCCTCCTGTCCCTCACAGTGAAGTGTCTCCTCCTGTCCCTCACAGTGAAGTGTCTCCTCCTGTCCCTCACAGTGAAGTGTCTCCTCCTGTCCCTCACAGGGAAGTGTCTCCTCCTGTCCCTCACAGTGAAGTGTCTCCTTCTGTCCCTCACAGTGAAGTGTCTCCTGTCCCTCACAGTGAAGTGTCTCCTGTCCCTCACAGTGAAGTGTCTCCTCCTGTCCCTCACAGTGAAGTGTCTCCTTCTGTCCCTCACAGTGAAGTGTCTCCTTCTGTCCCTCACAGTGAAGTGTCTCTGAGTGTCTCCTTCTGTCCCTCACAGTGAAGTGTCTCCTTCTGTCCCTCACAGTGAAGTGTCTCTGAGTGTCTCCTTCTGTCCCTCACAGTGAAGTGTCTCCTTCTGTCCCTCACAGTGAAGTGTCTCTGAGTGTCTCCTTCTGTCCCTCACAGTTAAGTGTCTCTGAGTGTCTCCTTCTGTCCCTCACAGTGAAGTGTCTCCTTCTGTCCCTCACAGTGAAGTGTCTCCTTCTGTCCCTCACAGTGAAGTGTCTCCTTCTGTCCCTCACAGTGAAGTGTCTCTGAGTGTCTCCTTCTGTCCCTCACAGTGAAGTGTCTCCTTCTGTCCCTCACAGTGAAGTGTCTCTGAGTGTCTCCTTCTGTCCCTCACAGTGAAGTGTCTCCTTCTGTCCCTCACAGTGAAGTGTCTCTGAGTGTCTCCTTCTGTCCCTCACAGTTAAGTGTCTCTGAGTGTCTCCTTCTGTCCCTCACAGTGAAGTGTCTCCTTCTGTCCCTCACAGTGAAGTGTCTCCTTCTGTCCCTCACAGTGAAGTGTCTCTGAGTGTCTCCTTCTGTCCCTCACAGTGAAGTGTCTCTGAGTGTCTCCTTCTGTCCCTCACAGTGAAGTGTCTCCTTCTGTCCCTCACAGTGAAGTGTCTCCTTCTGTCCCTCACAGTGAAGTGTCTCTGAGAGTCTCCTTCTGTCCCTCACAGTGAAGTGTCTCTGAGTGTCTCCTTCTGTCCTTCACAGTGAAGTGTCTCCTTCTGTCCCTCACAGTTAAGTGTCTCTGAGTGTCTCCTTCTGTCCCTCACAGTGAAGTGTCTCCTTCTGTCCCTCACAGTGAAGTGTCTCTGAGTGTCTCCTTCTGTCCTTCACAGTGAAGTGTCTCCTTCTGTCCCTCACAGTGAAGTGTCTCCTTCTGTCCCTCACAGTGAAGTGTCTCCTTCTGTCCCTCACAGTGAAGTGTCTCTGAGTGTCTCCTTCTGTCCCTCACAGTGAAGTGTCTCCTTCTGTCCCTCACAGTGAAGTGTCTCTGAGTGTCTCCTTCTGTCCTTCACAGTGAAGTGTCTCCTTCTGTCCCTCACAGTGAAGTGTCTCCTTCTGTCCCTCACAGTTAAGTGTCTCTGAGTGTCTCCTTCTGTCCCTCACAGTGAAGTGTCTCCTTCTGTCCCTCACAGTGAAGTGTCTCCTCCTGTCCCTCACAGTGAAGTGTCTCCTGTCCCTCACAGTGAAGTGTCTCCTCCTGTCCCTCACAGTGAAGTGTCTCCTGTCCCTCACAGTGAAGTGTCTCTGAGAGTCTCCTTCTGTCCCTCACAGTGAAGTGTCTCTGAGTGTCTCCTTCTGTCCTTCACAGTGAAGTGTCTCCTTCTGTCCCTCACAGTGAAGTGTCTCCTTCTGTCCCTCACAGTTAAGTGTCTCTGAGTGTCTCCTTCTGTCCCTCACAGTGAAGTGTCTCCTCCTGTCCCTCACAGTGAAGTGTCTCCTCCTGTCCCTCACAGTGAAGTGTCTCCTCCTGTCCCTCACAGTGAAGTGTCTCCTCCTGTCCCTCACAGTGAAGTGTCTCCTGTCCCTCACAGTGAAGTGTCTCCTCCTGTCCCTCACAGTGAAGTGTCTCCTTCTGTCCCTCACAGTGAAGTGTCTCCTCCTGTCCCTCACAGTGAAGTGTCTCTGAGTGTCTCCTTCTGTCCCTCACAGTGAAGTGTCTCTGAGTGTCTCCTTCTGTCCCTCACAGTGAAGTGTCTCCTGTCCCTCACAGTGAAGTGTCTCCTTCTGTCCCTCACAGTGAAGTGTCTCCTTCTGTCCCTCACAGTGAAGTGTCTCCTTCTGTCCCTCACAGTGAAGTGTCCTCCTGTCCCTCACAGTGAAGTGTCTCCTTCTGTCCCTCACAGTGAAGTGTCTCCTGTCCCTCACAGTGAAGTGTCTCCTCCTGTCCCTCACAGTGAAGTGTCTCCTTCTGTCCCTCACAGTGAAGTGTCTCCTCCTGTCCCTCACAGTGAAGTGTCTCCTCCTGTCCCTCACAGTGAAGTGTCTCCTTCTGTCCCTCACAGTGAAGTGTCTCTGAGTGTCTCCTTCTGTCCCTCACAGTGAGGTGTCTCTGAGTCTCCTCTCCTTCTGGACTGGAGCCAGATAGAGACTTTAAACAGAGTGTTGCATTATGGGTTGTTTTTAGCCTTGCTGTTGCTAAGCTAGTGAGTTTCTACAGTGATGTATATGTATGTGTGTGTGCAGTACTTGCTGCACGGGGACAGTCCTGCTGTGTCCTCCATGGAGACGGAGACGCCCACTGTGGAGGACATCCAGCTGCTGAAGAAGACCGTGGAGAGCGAGGCCTCGCAGGTACTCTGCTTTAGATTATATATTTATACTCATTATATAATATATTTGTATATCTTATATTATTTATATTTATTTTAAAGGTCCCACTGATCATAATTCCATCGTTGAGTTCTACTAGAATAGATTGTTCAATGTTCCAAACTCACTTTGGTTTCTCATCCAGCCTCTCTGTATAGTCTGTGTATTCACTTTCTGTCCTACTCCTGCCCCCCCCCCCCCGTGAGCCCAGTGGCCGTCTGCGAGACACAGCGAAACCCAGCCCGAACACACACACACCCGCAGCCCGGCTGGGAGTTTGTGTGTGTGTTCCCAGGCTGAGCTCCGCGGTGTCTCGCCGACCCCACGCCAGTGAGCCAGCTCACAGTGTCCCACTCCTCGCAGCAGCGCGCCTCGCAACGTCCCGCCGAGTGTGTGAGTGTGAGGAAGTCCGCGGATTGGTCCATTTGGCCGTTAAGTTACGTCACTATACCCAAGAAGTAAATAAATGGAAAAAGAGAAATGTCCAACGAGGCGTTCTGGGGCAGCACAGACAGGTCTTCTCTGAGTCAGAGTGTTACTCCCTACAGGGTGCACTTTGAGGGTCTGAGGCTCTGCAGAGCGTTCACATGCAGAAGCTACAGAACACAAGGGGACGGGTCAGAACCGGAGAAGCAGGACACGGGACCTTTAATATATATATATATATATGTGATATCTTTAGGGCCTGAAGACGGAGAAGGTGTTGATGTTATATTAATATGTATATATGATCTTTAGGGCATGAAGGACCTGAAGACGGAGAAGGTGTTGACGCGCAGGAAGTCGGAGTTGCCGCAGGATGTTTACACCATCAAAGCTCTGGAGGCTCACAAGAGGGCGGAGGAATACCTGACAGCCAATCAGGAGGCTCTCTGACCGGGGCGGGGCCTCCTGAGCAGGACTCTCTCCCATTGGAGGAATCTGAGGACTGGCCCCGGGGTCAGACAGGAAGCTGACCTCTGACCCCTGCTGTGTAGACGTTTCTCCTCTGCTCCCTGAACGCACCGCCAGCTCCTCTCCACTGCGGGAACTCATCTCTCCTACGCTCCTCGAACACATTGTTTACATTTTATAAAAGGAGACGCACACAAGACTTAAAAACAGATCTTTCTGACATTAATCTGAAATCTGTGGGATCACACGTTGTTTGGTTCAGAAAGTCAACACGTATTTCTGAAATCAATATTTACTTATTTATTCATTTTTGGACGTAAACAGATTTTGTTTGCAAGTGAAGAACCATTGTTCCCGCAGTGGAAACCGCACCTGAATGCAGCACGGAGCCCCGCCCCCTCCACCTGACCAACCAATCACACGTCAGCACGGAGCCCCGCCCCCTCCACCTGACCGAACAATCACACGTCAGCCAGGAGCCCCGCCCCCTCCACCTGACCAACCAATCACACGTCAGCACAGAGCCCCGCCCCCTCCACCTGACCAACCAATCACACGTCAGCACGGAGCCCCGCCCCCTCCACCTGACTGACCAATCACACGTCAGCACGGAGCCGGTGAATGTAGACGTTTGTTTTAAACTTTTATTCTGACGTTTCTTTATTTATCTTCTGCGACTTTAGACCAATGAGAGGCTCGGCGACTTTAGCCCAATGAGAGGCCAGCAGAGCCTTCTCAGGTCAAAGGTCAAACTCTAACCCCCCCCTCCATGACGTGTTCAGGGGTTCTGCTGAGTGCGGTTAAATACACACTTCTCCTCATCAGTATTTAGACCCTGATTTTTACACATCTTAATATATTAGAGACGTAATCTAGCAGAGGGTTACCCCGCCAAAATAAGAGCGGGGAGTCGGTGCCCGCCAAAATAAGAGCGGGGAGCGTCTGTGCTGACGATCATGTTTTAATATTTGACTTTTTAATATCAGTTCACAAATGAAACTCTAAATCTCCTTAATTATAATGAATGAATGAACTGAGGACTCCCATGATCCTTTGCTGTTCACAGGAGCGTCATGTGATCCTTTTTAAATCGTTCCGTTCTCATTAAAATAACAAAGCTCCCCTTTACGGTAACACCCTGAACCTCTCGGGTCAGCATCGTTATCTCAGATATCGTTTTCATTATTAAAAACAAAACAACTCATTTTTATTAAAGAATTAACTCGGGATCACGGCAATAAAAAAAACACGTAAGATCTCGATTTCCTGTCGCATGGAGCGAAGTCCAGGAGCTGCACAAGCAACGTCGTCTTTGAGAGCAAATATGAAAAATATGTATTATTGTCGTCATGTGACTAGAGCCACGCCCCCTACTGTCGGCTGGTTTCCGATCAGTCGCTGCACGCCGTCGTGTGATTGGCTGTCAATCGTTCTAGGTGTTTGTTAGCCCCGCCCACTTCTCTCACCCACCGGACAGTTTCTCTAAAAACCAAAACTTCTTGATTTCAGCTTCAGAACGAAATCTAACCCTTAATTTCAGAGTCTGACGATGTTTTAGCAACGTGATGAAGATCGTCTCAGCTTCATTGTTTCTCTTTGTGTTTCACTTCCTCTCAGATCCTCCGAAACGCAATGACACTTTTTACGATCTAAGATTTAAAACTCGCTAAACTTCAGGTTTAATGAATATATTCCGTCAGGTTGAAGACATGGCGCCCGGCGGCGAGACGGAGAGAGTTCAGGAGAGCTTTAATGAAACATGACACAGAATGAGAGGCTGGTTTGAACAGATGTTGGTGTACAGAAGAATAAAAAGAGATACATGTTTCACAGTTTCTGTGTTCTCACACACACACACACACACACACACACACACACACACACACACACACACACACACACACACACACACACACACACACACACACACACACACACACACACACATTATATTCATGTCCAATCATTACAATAAGAAGCTTCAAGAAAAGTCGGAATGTGACGTCTTCTAAAATATCTTCCTTTTTGGACTTTGTTTACTTCAGGAACATAGTGACATCACTCTGGAACACTAGCGCTCCAACACATTGCACGTGATAGGCTAAGGGTGGCACATCTCTAAGAGGTTGACCAATAACAACAGAGCCGGCCAGCTAGCCAATCAGAGCATGGAGACATGAAAACAGTTTCTCCTCAAAGTGTTTGTGAAGGACAGGATTATTTTAGCGTTCATTTAAATTCCAGTTTTATTTAATTTTAAGGCCAAAAATATTTGAAAGGTCCCTTTGGCCATTTCCACTGATCATGATGCAGTGTTGAGGTAGAATAGATTCACATTGTTCAATGTTCCAAACTCACATTGGTTTCTCAAACAGCATCTCTGTGGAGTCTGTGTATTCACTCTCTGTCCTACACGGCTTGTTGGAGCCCCCCCCCCCCCCCTCCCTGTGAGCCCACTGTGCTCTGATTGGTCAGCTCAGCCACTCTGTTCTGATTAGTCCACCACCATTACAGCTGAACATCAGTGATTATGTGTTACCATGGCGTTTGATAGCAACCAGGAAATGACACCAGTAAGGACAAACAGATGAGAATGCTGCGTGGGGTTGGGGGGACGTTGGGGGGGCTCGCTGCTCCGCCCCGTGGGGCTCGATGAGCGGACAGTGAGAGCTGGGTTACTGCTGTCGTTTCCTGGTTGCTGCGTGGGGTCTGCGAGACACCGCGAATGGACGCGGGAAGGGGGGGGGGGGGGTGCTGAGGGGGCTGCAGCACCTCCATCTGCGAGGCTCCACTAGCACCCGCTGCTGGATGTCCTCTACATGCTGCTGGATGTCCTCTACATGCTGCTGGATGTCCTCTACATGCTGCTGGATGTCCTCTACATACTGCTGGATGTCCTCTACATGCTGCTGGATGTCCTCTACATGCTGCTGGATGTCCTCTACATACTGCTGGATGTCCTCTACATGCTGCTGGATGTCCTCTACATGCTGCTGGATGTTCTCTACATGCTGCTAGATGTCCTCTACATACTGCTGGATGTCCTCTACATACTGCTGGATGTTCTCTACATGCTGCTGGATGTCCTCTACATACTGCTGGATGTCCTCTACATACTGCATGTGCTGCTGGATGTCCTCTACATGCTGCTGAATGTCCTCTACATACTGCATGTGCTGCTGGATGTCCTCTACATACTGCTGGATGTCCTCTACATGCTGCTGGATGTCCTCTACATGCTGCTGGATGTCCTCTACATACTACATGTGCTGCTGGATGTCCTCTACATGCTGCTGAATGTCCTCTACATACTGCATGTGCTGCTGGATGTCCTCTACATACTGCTGGATGTCCTCTACATGCTGCTGGATGTCCTCTACATGCTGCTGGATGTCCTCTACATACTGCATGTGCTGCTGGATGTCCTCTACATGCTGCTGGATGTTCTCTACATGCTGCTGGATGTCCTCTACATGCTGCTGGATGTTCTCTACATGCTGCTGGATGTCCTCTACATGCTGCTGGATGTCCTCTACATGCTGCTGGATGTCCTCTACATACTGCTGGATGTCCTCTACATGCTGCTGGATGTCCTCTACATGCTGCTGGATGTTCTCTACATGCTGCTGGATGTCCTCTACATGCTGCTGGATGTCCTCTACATGCTGCTGGATGTCCTCTACATACTGCTGGATGTCCTCTACATGCTGCTGGATGTCCTCTACATACTGCTGGATGTCCTCTACATGCTGCTGGATGTCCTCTACATACTGCATGTGCTGCTGGATGTCCTCTACATACTGCTGGATGTCCTCTACATGCTGCTGGATGTCCTCTACATACTGCTGGATGTCCTCTACATGCTGCTGGATGTCCTCTACATGCTGCTGGATGTCCTCTACATACTGCTGGATGTCCTCTACATGCTGCTGGATGTTCTCTACATGCTGCTGGATGTCCTCTACATACTGCTGGATGTCCTCTACATGCTGCTGGATGTCCTCTACATACTGCATGTGCTGCTGGATGTCCTCTACATGCTGCTGGATGTCCTCTACATACTGCTGGATGTCCTCTACATGCTGCTGGATGTCCTCTACATGCTGCTGGATGTCCTCTACATACTGCTGGATGTCCTCTACATACTGCTGGATGTCCTCTACATACTGCTGGATGTCCTCTACATGCTGCTGGATGTCCTCTACATGCTGCTGGATGTCCTCTACATGCTGCTGGATGTCCTCTACATACTGCTGGATGTGCTCTACATGCTGCTGGATGTCCTCTACATGCTGCATGTGCTGCTGGATGTCCTCTACATACTGCATGTGCTGCTGGATGTCCTCTACATACTGCTGGATGTCCTCTACATGCTGCTGGATGTCCTCGACATGCGTCCTCTACATGCTGCTGGATGTCCTCTACATGCTGCTGGATGTCCTCTACATGCTGCTGGATGTCCTCTACATGCTGCTGGATGTCCTCTACATGCTGCTGGATGTCCTCTACATACTGCTGGATGTCCTCTACATACTGCATGTGCTGCTGGATGTCCTCTACATACTGCATGTGCTGCTGGATGTCCTCTACATACTGCATGTGCTGCTGGATGTTCTCTACATGCTGCTGGATGTCCTCTACATACTGCTGGATGTCCTCTACATACTGCTGGATGTCCTCTACATGCTGCTGGATGTCCTCTACATGCTGCATGTGCTGCTGGATGTCCTCTACATACTGCTGGATGTCCTCTACATGCTGCTGGATGTCCTCTACATACTGCTGGATGTCCTCTACATACTGCATGTGCTGCTGGATGTCCTCTACATACTGCTGGATGTCCTCTACATGCTGCTGGATGTCCTCTACATGCTGCTGGATGTCCTCTACATACTGCTGGATGTCCTCTACATACTGCATGTGCTGCTGGATGTCCTCTACATGCTGCTGGATGTCCTCTACATACTGCTGGATGTCCTCTACATGCTGCTGGATGTCCTCTACATACTGCATGTGCTGCTGGATGTTCTCTACATGCTGCTGGATGTCCTCTACATACTGCATGTGCTGCTGGATGTCCTCTACATGCTGCTGGATGTCCTCTACATGCTGCTGGATGTCCTCTACATACTGCATGTGCTGCTGGATGTCCTCTACATGCTGCTGGATGTCCTCTACATGCTGCTGGATGTCCTCTACATACTGCTGGATGTCCTCTACATACTGCTGGATGTCCTCTACATACTGCTGGATGTCCTCTACATGCTGCTGGATGTCCTCTACATACTGCTGGATGTCCTCTACATACGCTGCTGGGTGTCCTCTACATGCTGCTGGGTGTCCTCTACATGCTGCTGGATGTCCTCTACATACTGCTGGATGTCCTCTACATACGCTGCTGGATGTGCTCTACATGCTGCTGGGTGTCCTCTACATGCTGCTGGATGTCCTCTACATGCTGCTGGATGTTCTCTACATGCTGCTGGATGTTCTCTACATGCTGCTGGATGTTCTCTACATGCTGCTGGATGTTCTCTACATGCTGCTGGATGTCCTCTACATGCTGCTGGATGTCCTCTACATGCTGCTGGATGTCCTCTACATGCTGCTGGATGTCCTCTACATGCTGCTGGATGTCCTCTACATGCTGCTGGATGTTCTCTACATGCTGCTGGATGTCCTCTAGATGCTGCTGGATGTCCTCTACATGCTGCTGGATGTCCTCTACATGCTGCTGGATGTCCTCTACATGCTGCTGGATGTCCTCTACATGCTGCTGGATGTTCTCTACATGCTGCTGGATGTCCTCTACATGCTGCTGGATGTTCTCTACATGCTGCTGGATGTCCTCTACATGCTGCTGGATGTCCTCTACATACTGCATGTGCTGCTGGATGTCCTCTACATGCTGCTGGATGTCCTCTACATGCTGCTGGATGTCCTCTACATGCTGCTGGATGTCCTCTACATACTGCATGTGCTGCTGGATGTTCTCTACATGCTGCTGGATGTTCTCTACATGCTGCTGGATGTTCTCTACATGCTGCTGGATGTTCTCTACATGCTGCTGGATGTTCTCTACATGCTGCTGGATGTTCTCTACATGCTGCTGGATGTTCTCTACATGCTGCTGGATGTCCTCTACATGCTGCTGGATGTTCTCTACATGCTGCTGGATGTCCTCTACATGCTGCTGGATGTTCTCTACATGCTGCTGGATGTTCTCTACATGCTGCTGGATGTTCTCTACATGCTGCTGGATGTTCTCTACATGCTGCTGGATGTTCTCTACATACTGCTGGATGTTCTCTACATGCTGCTGGATGTTCTCTACATGCTGCTGGATGTTCTCTACATACTGCTGGATGTCCTCTACATGCTGCTGGATGTCCTCTACATGAGGAACATCTGGGTTTTATACCCGACTCCTTCCTGAAGCTCTTCCCGTCGGCCCCCGTAAATTAAAGAAAACATGCAAATAAGAAATGATGATGAACGTTCAGGTTACAGAGCGTAAAACAAGAGGCTTAAAGTTCCCACACTGTGTTTGACCCTGAATGACCCATCAGGTTAGAAACTTTAAATGTAATTAATGATTATTTTAATCTTTAAAATGACAGCTTAACTTAAACTCTTTATTCTGCAGGAAAGATGAACAAAGGTTTGAGCGTCTTTAAGTTTCAGAGTTTATACAAAATGCAGATTAAAAGCATAAAGAAAGGAGAAGCTGTTTCTGATGAAAGACGCGTCTCCGCTCCGCGTCCCTGAACAGTCTGAGAAATACATACGCATGACTTAAAGTTAAAAATCTAAAACATTCAGCTTCCATCCTCGTGCTGTTATTCCCCTCGGCCAGGGTCCCTGAAGTAGTCGTGGTGCGTTCAGGGTCAGAAGAGGTGGACGTCCTCGTGGTGCGTTCAGGGTCAGTAAAGGTTGTTTCTGTGGTGGTGCGTTCAGGGCCCTCTGCGGTGCGTTCAGGGCCCGCTGAGCTGCGTCAGGGTGTTTCTCTGATGGCTCTGCAGAGTGTTCTCCACCATGTCCTTCCACTGGTCCTCTGAGATCTCTTTGGCCCACGGAGGAACCACGAGAGCCGGCAGAGCCACGGAGGCCATGGTGCGCTTCACCAGCTCCACGTGGTCTGAAGAGACACGGGGAACAACCATCAACATACTATAACAACACTGTAAACAACAACAACACTTTAAACATACTATTAGGGCCGAACGATTAATCGATTAGAAATTATGCGATTATCAAATCGCAAAACCTGCGATTTTTTTAAAACTTTTTTTCATTTCATTTCAAGCCTTTATTTATCCAGATAAATCCCATTGAGATCATTGATCTCTTTTTCAAGGGAGACCTGCTCAAGTAGTTCCACATGAAACATAAACAGAACAACAAAAGGACATCATACAGCATCATTTACATAACGATCCACATAAACAGGTTCCAACAGCTTCCCATTGAGTCGCATCCAACCGAGCTTTAAAAACATTTAGTGGCACCAGATTGTTCAGTTTCCATTTAATTTGCAGACTGTTCCAAGACAGAGGAGCTGTGCATCTAAAAGCTGTCTTCCCTAAGACAGTCCTAGCAGTTGGCTCATTTAATAAAACCACAGCATGCGATCTCAGGCAGTAGCCACTTACAATTCTCCGTGAGATCAGGGAGCAGATATAAGATGGAAGTTTCCCTAACATGGCTTTGTATATAAAAAGGTACCAGTGACTGAGCCTCCGTACAGTTAGTGAAAGCAAACCAGCCCTTGCATACAGGGTGCAGTGATGGGTTAATGCTTTACAGTGTGTCACACATCTCAGAGCGCTGTGATACGCAGCATCTAACTTGATCAGGCAATGGGCAGCAGGTGCATTCATATAGATCAGATCACCAGAGTCCAGCACAGGTCAAAGGTCACAGAGCCTTTTCCTGGCCTCAAGCGAGAAACAGGACTTGTTCCTGTAGAAGAAACCTAGCCTAACCCTCAGCTTTTTAAGCAGGTTATTGACATGAAGTTTAAAAGAGAGACAATCATCAAGCCAGATACCTAGGTATTTGTAACAGGTAACCACTTCAAGTTTTATTCCTTGTGTAGTTACAATATCTAAAACAGGCTCTGGTGTCTTTTTAGCTTTTGTTGTTGTTCTTGTGTGTCAGTCATCCACACCAATCAGAAGTGCTGTGCTCCACATGTACCAGCCATTGTGAAGTGGCCCATGATAGCAGGTGATAGACAGATTGATCCAATCACCTGCCAAGTCTTTTTGAAATACTTTTCCCAATGGAGCTTTAGATGCTTTGGTGAAGCATCTGAGTCAGGTTAGTACTGCTCCATCACGTGTTTCTATCACAGGGAGAATCTTAAACTGAAGCTTGACTTTAAAGCAACGGAAGTTTCATGTAAGTT